GGGAAATCGAAGGCGGTCCCAGCGCGAGAATGCAAATCTACACCTTTACATTGCTGGTCCACTAGTTTAGAAACTACATATACAGAAAACTGTTTAGTAAAGTCGTAGTAGAGAATTTTTAGTTCGCAAAGCTGCAGCTTCTATATGTCCTATTATCAATTGCTTACTCAAATAAGCATACTTTTGACAGAAACGATTATTTAGCGAACTATGGGATATTACCATGTGTAAGCAGCAACAAAGTGAGAAAACTGAGAAATCACTAAGGGAATTTAAAGTCCATGTTACAAGCAACATATGATAAACTAACCGTTGTATCCACCATAGTATGCTCTTTCTTGTCAAAATCCATGTAATATTAAGTAGGAAAGAGAAGGAGCAAACAAGCACTGCCGTCGCTATTCCACCCCAGAATACGCTGTTGAACAAGTCCAAAGAATACCAACTAGAGTAATCAAGTCTGAAAAGATATGAATGGATTAATACAACGCAGAATTTTTGGTTTGCAAGCTGGTCTCCCTGGATGAGAAAAATAAAGCGGTACTCACCTAAAATGGAATATCCTACTAACCGACTCTGAATCTTGCCGTGCTACACATACATATCGCTCGATAAAGGAACGATTTACATTGTGAAGCATAAGCGCACCTCCGCTGAGCACGGTGCAACTGGAAGCATTTTTGAGCAGTGCAATTGGTAACAAGACAACAAACACTCACCAGCTATTCGTTGAAAGGGGCCGATCGGCTGCAGGATCAAACTTTCCCAAATATGTCGCCGGGCGATACAACCACCTAAATTATAATTTAATACATCCGTGCGGGGTCAAAATGTAAAAAGATCAAAAGCTGAAGGCAGAAAGAAGAAGAGGAAGTGTACCATTCAACAGCTGGCTGTGGCGATCCATAGGCAATGCAAGGTATAACAGGTGATTCACTGAACTCGGTGCGAATGATATCGGGGTTATGCTTCGATATTCCCAGAGTGCAATTTTCTTGTCTAACTCTATATTTATGAAGATCAAAAAAAAACAAAGGTGAAGTTGCTGAAAATGTAAGAGAAACGTACACAGGAGCACACAGAGTTTGATTGCCTATGAGACGAGCGACCGGTAGCGACCATTGAAATACGCAAGGATCACAGTCAAAGTTTGATCCAGTTAGAATCAATACACGTAACGATGACCTGACATTTTCGCTATAGCAGATTGTAACATGACAAATCAATAAACTAACTTCTCGAAAAATGATTGCGGAAAAGCAGTAAGTAGTGTATTTGTAATTGACAATTCTTTTGTGGATGCAGGAAGACGACCAGTGACAAACTTTAGAGGAATAGAGTCGTCTATAGACAATCTAAAAAGAAAATAAGAGGGCCATATGGTCAAAACATTCATACACAAAAAGTGGACAAACCTTTGCAAACTTGGGACATTCCAGCGACTGAAATCTACAACCTCCATTAGAGTTTGATCTAAGAATAGGTCTACTAGTTTTGGAGCATTTAGATCGGGAGACACTTGCAGCTTAACACCAGACAAGTCAAGCCGCTGTAGAGCTTTGAAACGAGGGAAAACAGCCTCCATCAAAGGATTGTGCGAAAGATCTAGAAAAGGCTTGAATAAAAAAAGGATCAACCCTTCAATTAAAGGCAGTGGACAGGCAAAATGGACCCTTCTCG